GGGAAGAGTAATACCTTTTTAAAAAAAATTTTTTTTAAATGTTCTAACATTCCACACGTAGCAGCCAAGAAGTTTAAAATAAAGGAAGCTGAATGACAAAAGAGGGAAATGAAATTAAAAGCTATGTAGTCATAGATACTGCTGATTCACCATGAGATTGTATTTGAAATTGTATTTGAATATTTATCTGTATATTCTCTGCAGCTTGAGTTAAAAAAATGAAAATTGTTTTAAGTATTAAAATAGTGGTATATATATATGGTAGCCTAGAGAAGTTCCCTACTCTGGAAGAGGTCAGGAAGGTTTTATAGAGATGGCATTTGAATTGAATTTTGAAGGATGAATAGCAGGCAAAATGGGGAAGGAGAATTACAAATATCGCCGATACTTGTAATTGTTTTGTAATAGAATGTCACTCTTTTACCTTTAGAGTTCAGGCAATATGAGAAACTCCTTTACATTAGAGGCAACACTCACATTAACTGTGGCTCTTTGAGATATTTTATGTTAAATAATTTTCAGAATGACATTCTAAATCGGTAGACTTGGGTTTCTAGAGTTTCATTTTCTAGAGTGAGAAACATGTTTAAAAATGTATATACAATCAAGACGAAAGCCTTTTACAGTGATGATTACTTCTCAAATGTACAAGATTTATTATTATTTAAGCTGTCTAATTCATAAAATATTACTGGATTGTAAGGCACAAAATAATACCGTTTTTTGTTCTTAGTGATGTTATCAAGATAGCCTAGCTTGACAAGTTATTGTTTATGTCTTGTATAGTGCTGTTAAATATTTACTGTTAGGAACATGGAATTCTAAAGAAAGGATTTTTAGACACAGATTAAAAGTCTTTAAAGTGTTCAAAAATAAATACTTCAAATATGATAATAACATATTAGAAGTATTAAAAGTAAATGGCGAACTCCGTTATATAAGCTGGTTAAAAAATAATTCTTAAATCCTCCCCCATGCTAATTAGAACACTAACATAAACAGAAAAAAAGGAGATTGAATTTTAGGCAACCTGGTATATGAAGGACTGATTATTAGTTAATTGGCTCTAGACAAATTGACCTGGAACTTCAAAAGTATTATGGAAATAAATTGTATCAGGATGAAAAAGGGAAGGATTACTGTATAATTTCTTTTTTCTGATAGTTGGATGAATGAATATAAATCTTCAACATGCTTTTCTTTCCATTAACACAGATTCAAAAATCAGTTCAGCCTTAAAGAAAGTTTGTTACACCAAATAATTTTTAAACTATATAAAACATAATGCCCTAATATAAATGTAACTTTAGCCAAGCTGCTGTATTACATGACTTACACTTAGGCGTTGTTGGAACCTCTCATTTTAGGAGGAATTCACATCTCAGCCTTTTCCCAATATTCATTCATTTATTCAAAAATTTATTGAGGAAGGGACTTCCCTGGTGGTGGTGCAGTTGTTAAGACTCTGCTTGCCAGTGCAGGGGACATGTGTTCAAGCCCTGTTCCGGGAAGATCCCACATGCTGCGGAGCAACTAAGCCCATGTGTCGCAACTACTGAGCCCGTTTGCTACAACTACTGAAGCCCACGCGCCTACAGCCCATGCTGCGCAAGAGAAGCCACCATGATGAGAAGCCTGCGCACTGCGCAATGAAGAGTAGCCCCCATTTGCTGCAACTAGAGAAAGCCTGCACACAGCAATGAAGACCCCATGCAGCCATAAATAAATAAAATTATTGAGGAAGACTTTTTGTTTCACATGTAAGGAGCTTGGAAGTCACCACTTCAGCCTAATAACAAGTCAAAAATTGACAACTGAAAAATCAACAACTCTTAGATCCATAAGAGAGGAGATGACACAGGTAAAACCACTGACCCCAAGATTGGAGAAACAGACAAACATAGGAAGTCGTGGCTTACTGGAGCCAAGATTCACAAGCAGAAGCCTCTGCAGGAGGTAGTGCTGGGTAGGAAAATCTGAGCTGCAGTTGGTGAATTGTT